TAGCTGGTATCAATTAAGACAGGTATTTTTCATCTTCTGAAATGTCAGGTTTGACCTCTAATAGAGGTCAAAAATTATCCAGTGGAAAAGGTTCGCTGAAAAACATGGTTCAGTGAGTCCAAAATATTTCATCTGGAAGATTTCCAGATAGATACACTACTGGGAAATCCAAAACAGCCCAAAGAAGGTCCTGCAGCTCTGAGGCAGAGCTGCCAGAAGGGCCACTCCAGCAATGCCGAAAGACAGCGGTTCTAGTGCCTGGAAATGTTCACTAGCACCATTTAGTTTATTAGTAGAGAAACAGCCTTTGAGTCCAAGAGACATTTGACCCAGGACTTTGATTTCTAGGTTATTCATAAACACTGAGGGACTGCCGTTTGTCCTGTATTTGACTCAAGGTGGCCGAGAGCAGATCTGCAGGATATTTCATGTAATAATTTGAAATGCAATTGTTTTTGGTTTCTGGGAAGCCAAAGGAGCTCACTGAAAGGAAATCTTAAGCACTGACCTATCAGAAAAGCTTCAAAGTTTCAAAGCACTGACCTATCAGAAAGCTTAATGCATTTGTCGTTACTTCTGAAGACCTACCAGCCTGTGTGAACTGAGATGTGCAAGATTCAGAACCAGGTTTACAGATGATGGACACTGTAGACTTAAGTCCTTCAGCATCATGTTTCCAATACTACCTTTAAAAATATCTGTTTCTTTTTGTTTAGGCCCTGACCCCGCCCCGCCCACACACACACAACTTAGTCTCTTATTCCACTTTTCATGCCATTTCCCTTCCCCTATCTAAACCCACATGAATATGTCATGGAGCTAATATATTTGCCTGAAAATATTTGCTGCAAATATGCCAAAAGGATCATATTCCTTGTTCTGTGGGTTCCCCCGAGGAAGTGTACTCATTAATTTGATATCCAGCTTTCTTTTTTTTTTTTTAAAGGGAACAAATGACAATTATTGTTTACTTTGAAGTGTGGTCTTTAGCATGAATAATTCCCCAAAAGAAACATCTGCTTCATAGACAAGTTGTGACAGCAGACAATATGTTTCCATATTTTACATTCATACCTGACTGGCAAGAGCTGGGACTGGTACTGACTGTCATGCATTAGAGTAGAGTCCTAGCAGGCCAAGATCACCTCTCAAGAATTTCTTGGATCTGGGGATGTTTTGTAGCATTTTCTCATGTATTAAAGCATGGTTGGCCCCAACACTGTATCCTTGTGCCTGAAGGAGGGCACTGCACCTCCTCCTGACTATCAAACATTTTTCAGCATTTTGGGAGGCGCCTGACCCTGAAATCACAGCATGGTCAGGGTTGGAAGGGGTCTCTGGGGATCATCTGGTCCAACCAGGACCTGCTCAAGGAGGGTCATCTAGAGCACATTGCACAGGATCACGTCCAGGCAGGTTTTGAATATCTCCAGGGAAGGAGACTCCACAATCTCTCTGGTCAACCTGTTCCAGTGCTCCGTCACCCTTACATTAAAGAAGTTTTTCCCCAGATCTAGATGGAGCTTCCTGTGTTTCAGTTTGTGCCCATTGCCTCTTGTCCTGTCACTGGGCACCACTGAGAAGAGTCTGGCCCCATATTCTTACCACCTTCCCTTCAGATACTTGTACATATCAGATCCTCCCTTAGTCGTCTTTTCTCCAAGCTCCAGAAATGAATTGATTGTGTGTTCAGGAGGGGGTCGAGGGCCCCCAGCTACCAGGCGTTTCCATGCCTTTTGTCTTTGGTGATATTACGCCATGCAGAACTTCAGTAAGCGAGGAGGAGGTTTCTGCCTGTGCCAAGAACATCTTGGCTAGCTGTCAGTTAATCTAGCTTGCTAGAGCTACTATCTGTACACCAGAATGGATTTTAACAACAGCTGAATCTAGGCCAAATTTTTTTTTTTTTAATCTAAGTTCAAGTCCAAACTTTCAGGCCTTTTACCATCCTTGGCTGACACTTTCCAAGCTGTCTGGCAGATTCAGACATCACTTTCCTATACTAAAATTCCGAACTCTTATTAGTGCTCTTATTGGTATACATAAGGCTTTGCAGAAGAAAGATCAAGCATAGAAAAAGATCAAGTATGCTAAATCATGAGCTCTTTATGAGCTCTTTATGAGAGAAGGAAGGAATAATCTTTTTTTTTTTCCCCTCTATGTCCCTGGTGACTAGGACAAGTAGTAGTATAGAGAACATTCAACATACGTGTTAAGAAAAAGATCTCACAAAAAGGGGTATGGAAGAAATAGATTGCCTGGAGACAGTGTGGTCTCCATCGGCGGAGATCCTGGAGGACAGGTGAGCTAAACAGCTATCAGGACTGATGCAGTTATACCATTTGGAGTAGGAGGACTGGGTGACCTCTCGAGAGTCTGGAATTTAATCATTTTGTCTTGTCTAAGAGCATCTCACCCAGTGCTGCTAGTTGGGGGGAAAGCTCAAATTGCAAGCACCCTCTTGTAGGAAGCTCCTAATCTTTCCTTCCTTTGCTGCTTTACCCTAAATCCACTACTGACCCTTGGAAGTCATCAATTCTCACGCCTGAACAGATAGGGAAGATTCGTGACCTTCTAATGAGGAAGTCCTTCATCAACCTGCCAGCCTCCAACCGTACAACTTCCCTATCCTACAGTGACCAGGCAGGCAACTACAGTTTCTATACTCAGTTAAAAACAAACACACACACACCTCACATACAGACAACATCATTCATATGTTCCTTTCTACTCATGTTTCTTTCCACAAGAAACTCATGCATATTTCAGCTGAAGTGCTAAGATGAGCCCCATGACCATGAGACCAGTAGCTAAGACCATCCTTATGCAAAAGTATTGTGGTTATTGTTAGGAGTTTAGACATCTTATGAAGTTATTCGGGTCCTGAAATTTGTCAGCACTTCACACGTAACTGTCAGTAGCTGCCACATCTCCAGGGCTGTGCCATACAGGAGACACTGAGCCCTGCAGCCTATGCGGAGAACAGGCGAGTTGCACAGAGCCCTCAGCTCCCACTGGAGTTGGAATGCGAGTTTGCAACACAATCTGCTTCAGCAGCAAGTACTTAACATTTTTTCTTGTTTTAATGCTTGTTATTTTTCCCTTTACTATTATTGAGAAGTGGGTGTATTACACATTAAAAATAGCTACATTTGAAGGCAAAAAGTAAATACAATGAGAAGTACACAATATAAACTGCCACACCCTTACTTTTTGTTAATGAGTTAGAAATTGTAGGATAAAAAATATTCCTTGATGCTTGTTGCCAGTAATAGGGTACAAATCCGCCAATCTTTTCGGCTGCATTTCAATTCTTTTTTAAGAGATTAGGAAAAAAACTAAATCATTCTGACTTGTAAAGAACTCTACCAACACAGGGAATTGCAATATTTTTTGAAATGCACATGACCATTTAGTTAGCAGCTGAACATACAGATAAGAAAATATCTTCTTTTATAGTGCTTCCCATGATTCACAGAAGTCCCTTTTCAGTACAAAACTGCCATTAACTAGGTATTTCAGTATACTTAGAGCGTTGTTAGAAGGCGTCTCAGGGAGCTGGCTGTTCTTTATTAAGCTATAAAAATGATCTTCTCTCTTAGAAAACACAAGCAGCACAGGAAAAACAAAAACCGTGTTTACAACCTGATACCAGAGTACTTCATCTTCATGAGATTTCATAATTCAAATGGCTAAACTCTTAAATTATCAGAATATTTGATGTTAAAGGCAGATTCTACAGGAATAGATCTTCAGCTCATGTGGCTTATGTCACTCCAAAGACTCTAATGTATGTATTTACTAACCAAATTTACTTACTTACATATTAACTGAAGGT